CGCTGTGTATGAGGTAAGCCCAAGACAAAATCCATACTGACATCAAACCAAGGAGCTTTAGGTACGGGTAATGGTGTGTACAATCCAGCATTAGTAAGAGCCCCTTTAGATTGCTGACATATATAACATCACTCCACATAATGCGTCACATCACTGCTCAACTTGGGCCAGTAATAATCAGAAGAGACCAATGCCAATGTCTTGTCTCGCCCAAAGCATCCTTCGTTATGAAGTTTACTAATAATCTGTTGCCTTAGTGAACAATCCGGAATGCATAACTGCAATCCATGAAATAGGTAACCATTATATAAAACAAATCATGTCGGTGATTATCTGTTACCTCCCGAATTGTCTTCCCAAATGAAGGATCCGCAGCATACATATCAAGAAATGCCTCAAATCCGACAATCTTAGTGCTCATGGTGGTGAGGAGTAATGTGCGACGACTCAATGCATCTGCTACTCGATTCAAACTCCCTGCTTGATGCCTGAGTGTGAAAGTAAACTCCTGCAAGTACGCCACCCACTTTGCATGTCACTACTCAGCTTGTGCTGACCATTGATGTACTTCAAAGCCTCATGATCAGTAACAAGGATGAACTCCCTCTGTACCAGGTAATGGCGCCAATGCTTCAGAGTCTGAACTATGGCATAGAACTCCAGGTCATAAGTGGAATAATTTTTCTTCGATCCCGATAGCTTCTCACTAAAAAGGCTACTGGATGTCCCTCCTGACTCAGAACACCACCAATGCCAACTCTAGACGCATCACAGTTTACCTCGAACACCTTTTCAAAATTCGGAAGTGCCAAGACTAGGGCCTCCGTCATCTTCTGCTTAACCAACTGAAAGCTAGCCTCTGCCTCCTCAGTCCACTGAAAATCACGCCCTTTAAGGCACCCTGTAATAGGAGCAATCAAGGTACTAAAGTTTCTGATGAATCGACGATAGAAGGATGCCAATCCATGGAAACTCCTGACATCGTGCAAAGTTTTTGGTTTCGACCAATTCAAAACTGCCTCAATTTTGGATTAATCTGCATGAACACCATCAGTAGACACAACAAAATCCAAAAAAATTACAGAAGTTGTGAAGAAAGAACACTTATTCTGATTGATGAATAAGCGCTCCGTCCTCATTACATCAAAGACAGCACTAAGATGATTAAAATGTGACTCCCATGTCAGACTATAAATAAGTATGTCATCAAAATAAACTACCACAAACTTTCCCATGAAAGGCCGTAAAACCTAATGCATAAACCTCATAAAAGTGCTGGGTGCGTTGGATAGTCCAAAGGGCATGACCATCCACTCGTACAACCCATGCTGTGTGTTGAACGCAGTCTTCCACTCATCTCCAGGTCTGATTCTGATCTGGTGGTATCCACTTTTAAGGTCAATTTTTGAGAAGACCTTAGAACCGGACAATTGATCCAACATGTCGTCCAGACGGGGAATTGGTAACCTGTACTTCACTGTAATCCTGTTAATTGCCCTGCTGTCAACACAGATACGCCATGACCCATCTTTCTTCGGCACTAGGAGAGCAGGAACTGCACAAGGACTCATACTCTCACGAATGTAGCCCCTTTTCAATAATTCTACCACATGTCGCTGCAACTCTTTAGCTTCCTTGGGACTGAGGCGATATGCTGGTCGGTTTGGTAGACTCGACCCCAAAATGAGGTCGATCTGATGTTGAATGTCTCTCATAGGTGGTAGTCCTGGAGGAAGATCCTCCGACATCAAGTCAGAAAACTCCATCAGTAGTTGCTGTACTTCTGCTGGAAATTCTGAATCCACATTCGCTGTACTATTTTCACGAGGCATTAAAGCATAAACTATTTTTTCAAGCCCATCCTCAACCAAGAACCTGGACATAGAAAGTAGACTGGGATTTTTAACTACCGGGGTAGGGATGTTTACTTCCTTGTGAGGCACCAAAACAATTCTATTTCCTTTGATGCTCAGAGAATAAGTATTCTTCCGCCCATCATGGATAACACTGCGATCATACTGCCAAGGTTGTCCCAACAAAACATGACATGCGTCTATTGATACCACATCACACCAAGCATTATTAAAATATTTTTTTTCCAATCGAGAAAGACACTAAGCATCGTTTTTCTACCGTTACCTCACTGCCTTTATTCAGCCAAGACAACTTGTATGGTTTGGGATGACGATCCATCTTCAGTTGCAGTTTCTCGATAGCCTCTTTAGACACTACATTCTCACAACTGCCACTATCAATTATCAGCTTACAGACTTTATCAGCAACTGTGCAGGTTGTGTGGAAAACGTTGGTCCTCAACCAATCATCCCCTGAGTCGCCCTTGGGAGTCAGCAGGCTCTTTCGAATGACCAGGGTCTCCTGACCATCTCCATATAGCACGTCCTCATCTTCACCCTCATCATACACGGGTTCTCCAACTTCCTTAAACTCCTCTATCATATCCTCCTCAATTAGAAGATTTTTATTCTTCTGACCAGCAGGCTTCCTGCAATCGGTCACCCTATGCCCTTGTTCACCACACCTAAAGCACTCAATACTTGAGCTGGAACATCCCGCTGTGGCTGATAAGCAGGACGAGATTCTTGAGGGCGAACTGGCTGACTTCCTTCACCTCTGACCATTGGCCTCCTACTTTGCTGTTTCTCTACTGCAAGTGCTCGCTGATATGCCTCAGAAACTGTCCACAATGAATGAAGGCTGAGAACATCCTGCAGGGGCTGCCTTAATCCCCCCAAATACCGTGCTACCATCTGCTTCTCCACTTCAGATAAATCATTTGAAGCCACCAACTGATAGAATTCTTCAGTATAATCATTGACTGATCTTGCGCCTTGTCTTAGTGAATGAAGCCTCTGAAACAAGGTTTGAGTATAGCCGAAAGGGAGGAGTGCCCTTTCATCTTCTTCTTCATCTTCTCCCAGTTAGTAATTTTGGATTTCTCCTGTCGTTCCTGTGAACGCTTCAACTGTTCCCACCATACAGATGCCCTACCATTGAGTTTGATGGCGACCAATTTCACTTTGACACGATCTAGAACCTCCTTATATTCAAAAATCCGCTCCACTTCATTCAGCCAATCAATAAATCCTTCAGCCTGCAACGTACCAGAAAACTCGGGCAGATCCACTCTGAAATTGACGATCCTCCCGTCCACGATGCTCCCAACTCGAGCACGATGGTAATACGGGTTTTCGAAACTGGTATCGGAATCGTGACCTTCGACATCATGATTACTGAACTCCTGCTCCGCCAAACGTTGGGTTAACTCCGCAACTTGTCTTTGCAAATCTTCAATCGTCACATCCTGAATATTACGATCACGGTGCGGGACTTCCTCAATCGGGACTTGTCCTCGACGACCACGACCACATCCACCAACCATTATAACTGATGGAATTTATCTCCCAAGAAGATGCTAATGCTCTGATACCAACTGACGCCGGGTAGGATAGTGATTATACTATTGGCTTGTTGCAGCAGATGATTCGCAAGAAAAGAACGACAGAAAACGCCCAAAAAACTAGAAAAAATACTCTGAATTCAACTTAATATTATTAATAATGCCGGATGATGAAAACTAACCCACAAGCCGGGTTAAATGGCTGCGAAATACGAAATTATTGAAAAATTACCAAAAATGACAAAATTCCAAAATTATACCAAAATAAAATATTAAGTAAAAGAAGTAAATTGCCAAAAATTTGGTTCAATTCGAGTTTTCTAACATATGGAAAAAAGAAAACGAAATATTACCATAAATAGTAAAAAATAACTTAAAATTGAATTTTGGAAAGGAAAACGGTGGATTTTGGGCTCGAAATTGACATCTACCGAGCATAGCTCGGTGGCCACAACGTGCACGCCGACGAGAGCTTTTCGGATTGGGATCATAATAGCGATTCCGATAACCGTAGTCAAAGTTATGGCCAAATTACCAAATATGCATCAAATTCCCCCAATTAAAGAAATAATGGTGATTCACTTTCCATCTTTGCGCTGATCCGTCATCTCATGGTGTCTCAGCGCCATCATCGTGCTATCTGACAAATCATCATCACTCGACTCGAATCCTCCTGCATCATATTTAACCCATTTATGGAGGTATTACCTGGCCCATGGTGTGAAGTCCTACCCTATATATCTAACCTAATAGTTGCATATATACACAGACATGTGTTTTGTGTGGTGTGTGCACGTGTATTGTGCAAGAGTGTGAGGGGAAAGATGGAGAGAGGGGAACCGAATTGGGGAGTGGGAGAGTGAAATTGGGAAAGATTTCCACCATTTGAATTTTCACCAAATTTTCTTAGTCATAATTTTTACGTGCTTTCACTAGTTTTTAGCTGTATCAAACAACTAAAGAATTTGTACAATTTCGAATATATGTATGGGATCTGAAATTACTCATTGACAATGTGCACTTAGGGTGTGTTTGATTACATTTATTTTTCATGAAAAATATTAGTTTTCCATCCAAATTTTTACTTGAAGTGTTTGATTGCTATTTTTTTCCATGGAAAATATTTTCCAACTTTTGAAAATATGCCTAATTTTCCTTGTTTTTAAGGAAATCATTTTCCTTGAGTAGAGATGATTTTTATTTTCCACAAAAGATGGAAAACATTTTTTTTTCTAGATTATATTTTCCATGTCAATCAAACACACTCTTAGAGTTTTGAGTAAGCACACGTCTGTCCATAATCTTTTATTCAACAAACTAGAACAATCAACATGAGAGTTTGATGTGAAGCCTTATCAGCCAGGCTCCATTTATTTGATCATAATACGAACAAGCTGAAAGATGACTTTCTCAGCCCACAAGAAGAGAAATCAGATAAAAAGGAATAGCTGCAAGAATGCATTATTCAGCATAACATTAATTTCAGAATAAACAATGGAAAAGCTGATTGTTTAGCCGCTTCTCTGTCTTTTCGGAGGTTTTGGCCATTCTTGTTGCTTCATCTGGTTTGATCCTTCAATTTTCAGTAGTTTTTTTCAGTTTCTTCATCTGGTTGGATCCATGGATCTGGGTTATTGGCAAGGAAATTCTTCCAACATAAAGCTGAATTTTTCGGGAATCTTGTTAAATTTCCATTCATGAAATCCACATAAAAAATGCCAAATCTGACATTGTATCCAGATGCCCATTCAAAGTTGTCTAACAGTGACCATATAAAATAACCCTTCACCTTTACACCATCACTAAAAAAGGAAAGAAAAACCATAAACAAAGATGAAGTTAACAAATTTTGAAAAAGGTTAACAAATTAGAGAACGAGATCTTTACTTCATTGCCCTCTTAATGTTGTTTAGATGGTCCCTCTGATAGTTAGATCTTATATAATCAGAGAGGGAATCTGTGATCGAAATGGAAGTATCATTCTTTTCGGTCGCCCCTGCACAAAATCAGAAAGATATTATTTTCAATAATCACATAACATAAGAAAATGAATATTAGATTACATTTCTTTGTATATAAATACAAATGATTATAAGATGGTAAATTGAAAACAACTATTTACCATTCTCTGTGATATAAATGACTTGTTCAAGACCATAAGTTCTAGTGATTTTCATTAGGAGTTTGTAAATCCCCTTTGGATAAATGTACAATCAAACTGTACCAGGACTCTGTCACAAAAAAGAAGAAGGAGATTTCATTACATTACATAAGAAATATTTTAATTCATTGCATGCATAAATTAGAGCATAAACTTTTCAACTTGATTACCTATCTATTTTCTTTGTTATTATTTTACTTTATATTTTGAAAAAGAGAAAAGCTTACCAGATCACCGATTGGCTTGGACTCTTTTTCATCTACCAAAGTATGCGAGTTAGAATAGTGGTGGAGTAATAATGCTTGCAGCTACAGCCAAAAAGGTCTCAAAAGTCAAAACTTACATAAAGTTTTTCCGTACGAATCAGTGAGATAATTATGTGATCCAGACTTCGGAAGTACATCAGTCGCATAACAAGACGTGTAATAGTTTATGCCTAAAAAGTCATAAGATCCTTTAACCAACTTCTCTTCTTGTGCGGGGAATTTTGGAAGATGTTCTCCTACATACTGCTTCATAGTTTTTGGGTACTGACCAGTTACCAATGGCTCTACAAACCTGAAGGAGAACAAAAAGGAGATAGATGGAATGATTATAATATGGAAAATGGCCTGTAAAATATTGCAAACCATTAATTAGAAGAATTTCAATTGTCAATGTGTCCCCCTCCTTGTACTACAAATATTATTGAATCCATGGATCCCACGTAGGAACATTTGGTGTTCGCTAAAAAAGTAATTTGCTTTAGAAAGAAATAGAAAGTAATTTGATTTTTTATTGTCAACATATTGAGTAGTAAAGTTACCATCCCAAATTAAAATCGAGTGCCCTTGAAGAAGCCTCCACATCTTCTGGAAATCTGAGAGGCTCATACCAAATCGCGACATTCGCCATCCCTATCTCACCTTTTTGAGGTACCTATGCAAATGTATCTGTTGGTGTAAATAAACCCTATATTGTGCATATTAGAGAATATCTCAAAGTATATATATATTGCATGCGAAAATTAATGATTAAAAAAGTGGAAACCTTATATTTTTGCTTGTATAACCTAACCGCATGTGCATGAGAAAGGATCAAATTGTGCGCAACTTTATATGGTTCTGTGCCTGGATCTCCCTTGGTCGAATGATTTTTGGTGGAAAATGTTGTTCTATGAGGAAGGATAGTATTCAAAATAGGTATGCTCTTCTCAGCAGTCATACTCTTTTTAGTAGTCTCTGATGAGTTTGTTGTTGTTGCACCCCGACATGGTGGGAAATTTCCAGTTGCATATCCTTGAGAAGCAAAGGACCATGGCTCATTAAGAGTGATCCAGTGTTTCATCTGATCGCCGAAATTCCAGAAGCAAACCTCAGCAAATTCACAAAAATGTTTCCTATATTGTAGATAGAGGAAATGAAGTATTATATCAAAATATGGAAGAACTATTTTAGCTGAAAGTTTAGGCTCTATTTGAAACACATTATTTGGAAAAATACATTCTTAAATAATGATTTAACATCATTTCAATCACACATTCTTCAATAAAATAATATTACACGCAAATTAAAATTTTTTTTTTATTTTTTAAACACACATTTTCCATCAATACACTATTCAAAAATACATTTTTATGAAAATAATTTGGCTCAAAAAAGGGCTTAATCTTTGTACAAGAAAGTCCATTTTTATAATACAAAAGTAATAAAAATTTCTTTTGAAATAAAAGACCTCTTCTTTTTGCTTCAGAAATGTTGTCGCTAATTATATTGTATTTCTTTATGTAAACTTAGTTTGTAATTTTCTTAGAAACCTTCTTTGAATACATGCCATGTGATGCAATATTAACTTACACAATTTTATCACTTAGGAAGCCATCATACTCTTCCTCCAAACATTGAGGAACATCCCAGTGGAAGAGAGTCACAAAAGGCTTAATGCCTACCAAGAAGTAAGTAAAAAGTATAAATTTCAAATTATTGGTGGATTAATCACCATGGAGGAGGCTTCCTTTGGGGAAAGAGTAAAAGCCATGTAGGAACCTGAGAACCAACAAGGGCACATCCTGCGATTTACCTCCCTGAGCAGCTGAGGGGTCGAAGGTTCAGGGACGTGGATATATAGTCTGGCGCAAGTTGGGACACCTCGTTAAAAAAAAAAAAAGTATAAATTTCAATTATGAATTAAATTATCAAAGTTAAGTTGCCAAAAAATTAGTATAAGAAGAATGCTACACGCAACGGACTCTAACTTGCTGCCACGAGTTCATCTATAAGATCATTATAGAACTTGTTGTCACATAAAAATTCAGTCCAAATCGAACGGCCCAAGGAATGAAGCCCAATTGGAGGATCCCCAAATTAGATAGCCCAAAGAACGAAGCCCAATCAGACAATTCAGGATGAATGCCCAAATAGGGAGGCCCATGAACGCGGTAACACCATCGCCCAAGCTTGCAAGTCGCCTAGGATTTGAGCGAATGGAATGCCATGCAGTCGCCCAGAGCTGCTACTCTATTCTCGCCCAAACCTTCGAGTCGCCCAAGGTCTTAGCAAACATGAAGTGTTATGGTTATCAAGAAGTGCAGTTATCAAAGCAGTTATTAAGTAGCCCTATCACGTTCCACAATTCAAGGAATTCAATTGAAAACAGTTGAATGACAAAGAGTAATGGCAGCACTTAGAAAAAACAGTTCCATGACAAGTTGGCCATTACGAGTAAAGTGGGCAGTTATAGAACGATCAAGCAGTTTTTAGGCGGTTGATCACAAAGAGATCATCCAGGGAGTATAAAAGGAAGAAAAGACATAGAGCAAAAGGACCGAATCAAAAACTCTCGAACATAGAACATGTAACTTTCAATTTCTTAGTTTAGATTTAAACACTTCTTTCAGTAACTCGTGTGCTTGCGCCCCTTGGAGGCATTCTATTTTTTACTTTCCGATTGTAAAGACATCGCCAATAAAGAACACCCCTTTTTGGGACTTTATCTCAAGAGGTTTGTCCCTTACACAATCGTCTGATCCCTTTTTAATTGTTAGCGACTAACCCGCGCAAAACAATTTGGCACGCCCAGTGGGACAGTGGTGTTTGGTGTTGAAAATACAAAAGGTGAAACAATATGCCTCAGAGATCCGATAAGGAAGCAGCAAGTTAGGGAGGAGTCCAGTCTGTGATCGAGCGATATGAGAAGCAGCATGCCTCTCCACGAACAGATGAACAGAATCAGAGCAGTAACAGTCGTTATGAACCAATGACAGAGTTGAGTCCTCGAACTATGCGTGCACTACTTGAAAAACTCACACAAGATGTCGTTGAACATGTAAATCTTCGAAATATTCATAATATAGAAAGATTTACTCAAAATGGGAATGCACATTATGACAACATGGCCAAACAACTAAACACTTTGAACGAAATAATGAATAAGTTAGTGGGCCAAATATGTCAACCGGTTCTGCCTCTTGCAAACCACTTTCAAACTAGGACAATTGTGAGACGTAATCCCTCGGTCCTAAATCCGAATCAAGGGGTAGAACCACTTTCTGGTCCCTCTACTTCAAACCAAGGGGGTGGTGCAGTGCTAAATCAGAACAATGGTAGTGGTACGCCAACTTGGGGGGTAATCCAAATGTAAGAGATAATGTCCTAAACAATGGGCAGAATATTCCACGTGTTAATGAGGGAATACATGTTCAGGCTAATGGTAATGACCCAAATCATGATAACTTTGTTGCCAATCAAAGACCAAACATCAGGCCTTATGCAAATCAACCGGTTAACCAACCTGTAGGAATTCCATATGACCCCAACGTCATGTTGAGGAATCAGATTATGGAAATCGTACAGGATCAGATGGCTTTTGGGATGCATCCTATCATTAGGCCGACTTACATAAAGCCATATCTTGATTGGGTAGACCAAGCATATCCATGGCCTAGAGGGTATAAAGTGCCAGAATTCTCACTGTTTACCGGTTTAGGAGAGGTGTCTACTTTAGAACACATAGGGCGATTCACATTGCAAAGTGGTGACGTAACTGATTACCATAAAATGAGGCTTTTCCCTAGTTCATTAACAGGAGTAGCTTTCTCCTGGTTTATCAACTTGCTAGCGAACTCTGTTCAAACATGGCAACAATTGGAACAATTATTCCACGCTCAGTTTTATAAAACTGAGTCTGAAGTTACTTTGGCTGATTTGACGAATCTACGTCAAATGCCAAATGAATGGGCTGAAAGTTTTCTCCAAAGGTTCAAGACAGCAAGAAGCAAGTGTTTTGTACCTCTGCCCAAAAAAGAATTTGTCAAAATCGCTCAGGGTTGCTTGAGCTTTGATTTAAAAAAGAAATTTCAAGACAAGGAATTTCTTGACCTTTTCCAGTTGAGTGCGAATGTGATCAGGTATGAACGACTGATAAGAGAAGAAGAGCAAATGAAAAATTCTAGTAAAGAGACTTATTACAAAGACCCAAATTTTGACGTTCATACCATCAGCGACGAGTCATACGATCAAGCCGAAATGTGTTTGGCCGAATTGGTCAAAGGAGACACGTATACTTGTCCTATAATGGCTAAGCCCAGACCATCGGGCAAGGATGAGCCCATGAAAGATGGAAACATAAAGGCTAGAACGTTCTCGTTCAATGTAACCAAAGCTGACCTTATATTTGATAAATTATATAGGGATAAGCAGATAAAGCTGAATGATAAGCATAAATTGCCAAACCCTGAACAAATTAAGGGTAAAAAATATTGTAAATGGCATAATGCATGGTCACATTTGACTAACAATTGCTTGATTTTTCACCATGTATTGCAGGATGCCATTGAATCAGGACGAATTACGTTCGACGATAAGAAGAAGATGACAGTGGATGAAAATCCTTTTCCACAACCACTTGGAGTGAACATGGTAATGGCTGGTTTCAAAAACAAGTTGTTGAAATTCAAGTTGGTCATAGATGATGGAGAAGAGGACCCTGGACCACATCCCAGTGTCTTTGAACGAATCAAGGGGAAAGAGCCAAAAAAGGACGAAGACGTCCTATGTTCAAGATGTAAAAAAGAAGTGAGTGGGAACACGAAGAAACCAGGGATATGGCAGCATCCCCATCGCCCTACTTTCCTCCCAAACACTTAGCCTGGTAGAGGGCGAGGTACATCATTCTATAGAGGACCGCCTTTTGAGAGGCAGTTCAGGCCAGTAGATAATGGGAGAATCTTCAGGCCGCAACCCCACCGGCCAACTGTATGGCATTCGTTCCAGTATAATGCAGGAAGGGCAATACCCTTCGATGAGATGACTAAAACCCAAAAAAGGCGTTTCTAACGAAACTATGGACGAGTGATGAGGCAGCAACAGGGAATGCCACATCCTAAAGCGCCTAAACTACTCAAGGTAGCCAATCAAAATGTTCTCAAATACAGTGAAGAGACCGGTACAGATGAATCAATGAAAGAACTGTCAGAAACTTGTTCTGGGAGATCAAAGTTTGAGCGAGACAGAAGGGATGGAGAAGATCTAGATCAGCCCCTTACTATCCAGTTCGGTATGTTACCTCCTGTCGTGGCTAATAATTACTTACTGGCCAATGAATTCAAGAATAAAGAAAAAGAAAAGGAAGAAAGGGAGGATAACGAAGGAGAGGCTTGCGTGCTGGAATGTGAAGAAGGCCAGACTTTTGGAGAGGCCTACAATGATGAAGAAGACGATGGGATGACAGACATCGAAGAAGAAATCGACCTAGAAGCAGAAAGAAGAAGGAGAGGAGTATCGCACAATACTCTGTTGAAGCAACTACATCGAGAGGGATTTCGCGAAGTAGACTTGTTGGGAGAACCATCTGGGCGTTCTTTCGATTTTTACGTACTGTACGGACGCCCAAAAGGAAGAAGAGAGTGCCTCGCTCTGAAAAGTATGGATCACCTCCAAGAATAATGCCCCCTCCCATAGGTTGGAAAACTGATGAGGAAGCATTAGAAAACAGTAAGGAGGAAATTTAGGAGACAGAGGCTCAGGGCAATATGCTGCACGTCGACTTATCACAGAGGGATAATTCGACAGGAAACAAGCAGGAAGTAGAAATAGAAGCTGCCGAAAAGGTTATTTTTAAGCGGCCAGCCATGAAATTGACTAAACACTTGAGGCCATTGTACGTTAAAGCTCTACTTAACGGCATCCCTGTGGCAAAAGTGCTTGTTGACAATGGAGCAGTTATAAACACCATTCCATCTAGGATGATGAAGAAATTTGCAAAGACAGAGGGTGACATAATTCCAACAGAAGTCATCCTTACGAGTTTCAATGGAGGAGCAACTTCAGCTAAGGGAGTTATGCCATTGGATATAACTATAGGGACAACTACTAGGACCACAGTCTTCTTCGTAATAGATGGTCCTACTAGTTACAATGTGTTACTAGGAAGAGATTGGATACACGGAAGTCGCTGCATACTCTCATCACTCCATCAATGCCTGGTCTTTTGGAACAACAAGGGTGAAGCAGAGGTGGTGCAGGCCGATCATAGGCCTTTTGTCGCAGAAGCAAACTCAGTGGAAATGTTCATGTACGAAGGAAACTATAGACCTGTCAGGGTAGTCCAAGATGGGGAAGAAACTCAGATCGTCGCACAGAGTGAAGAGCCATTTTTAGTGGACGCACTCATTGAAATGTTCAGCCAAATGAGACCAAATATAGTGGTCTTAGAAGAGCCAGTAATTGGCAAAAGAATAATCAAGGAGTCTTGAATGGATTCTAGGCTACAAAAGTAAATGGCCGATATTCAGGCCTTCAAAGCTAGATTAAAGGCTTTCAATAAAGAATGCAAGGACAAAACGAAAGAAGAGGCAGCCCTAAGAGCGCTGAAAGACAAATGGGCAGTATTCGAGTTAGAACAAAGCATTGGCCGAGAAGTCAACAAGGTGGACTGTTTAGAAGAAGAAGTACTTACAAGGGAACTGGACGACGAAGTGATGCGGATCATCAAACCTGGATACGCTCAAGCACAAGACCTTCTGATCAAAGTAAATATTGGCAATGAAGGAGAAGATTGTCTAACATTCATCAGCCAGATGCTCGATCAAGAGGTTAGTGATAAATTAATCGCTTTGCTAAAGGAGTATAAAGATTGTTTTGCTTGGGAATATGAACAAATGCCTGGTTTAGATAGAGACTTGGTGGAACATAGGTTACCAACTAAGCCTAATTTTAAACCTCATAGGCAGCCTCCTAGACGTTTTGCTCCTAATGTACTCCCTGAGATTAAGAAAGAGATAGAGCGATTATTGAAAGCAGGCTTTATTAGAATAGCCAGGTATGTCGAATGATTGTCCAATATCGTGCCAGTACTAAAAAAGAATGGTAAACTAAGGGTGTGCATAGACTTTAAGAATTTAAATATAGCTACACCCAAAGATGAGTATCCAATGCCCACGGTGGATTCTTTAATAGACTCAACTGCCGAACACGTCATGTACTCTTTCATGGATGGGTATTCAGGATACAATCAAATTTATATAGTTGAAGAGGACATACACAAAACAGCCTTTAGATGCCCGGGGTCTCTAGGATGTTTTGAATGGGTGGTCATGCCTTTCGGCCTAAAAAATGCAGGAGTAACTTATCAAAGGGCAATGAATTTAATCTTTCATGATATGATAGGCAAGTTCGTTGAAGTGTATGTAGATGATATAGTGGTAAAATCCATTAAAGAAAAGGACCATTTCGAACAGTTAAGATGTTCGTTTGAGCGAATGAAGCAATATAAGCTAAAGTTGAATCTCTTAAAATGTGCATTTGGTGTTAATGTAGGGAACTTTCTTGGTTTCTTGGTATACAAAAGAGAGATTGAACTTGATAAAAATAAACCAAATGCCATTTTAGAGGCCAAACCACCTAGCAACAAAAAAGAATTGCAAAGGTTTCTAGGTCAAGTAAACTTTTTAAGACGCGTTATTTCTAACTGTGCAGGGCGAACTAAAGTCTTTTCGCTGCTCTTAAAGCTGAAAAATCAGGACGAATTCGTCTGGAAAGAAAAACATCAAAAGGCTTTTGAAAGCCTGAAGATATATTTATCAAGTCCACCAGTGTTGGTGTCACCAATCCAAGGACGACCAATGAAAGTGTACGTATCGGCTGAAAAGAATCAATAGCTAGAATGGTCGCGCAGGAAGACCAATTTGGTGAAAAAAGGGCAATTTACTACTTAAGTAGGCAGTTAATAAAATGTGAATGTAATTACTCTGCTATCGAAAAATTATGTCTTGCATTGTATTTCACATGTACAAAATTAAGGGCTTATTTACGGCTCATAACTATTTATTTAATTTCTAAAGTAAATTTAGTTAAGTATATGTTCTCTCGCCCTATTTTACACCAAAGGGTAGGCCTTTGGACATTAGCTTTATCAGAATTCGAGATACAATATATATCTTAAAAGGCAGACAAAAATCAAGCTTTGGCTAACTTTTTAGCCGATCATCCATGCCTTGACATGCCTAAAGAAATTGAATTAGAAATCAATTCGTTCGAGCTAAAATCTTGAGTGTTGTATTTCGATGGGTCAAAAACCTCTAAAGGTGCAGGAGTAGGAGTAGCATTGATTAATCCTTTAGGGATTTACTACAAGTTCGCGTTCACTTTAGACAAGATGTGCACCAACAATCAGGCCGAATATGAAGCCTTAATCGTAGGCCTAGAACTAATGATAGATATGGGAGTAAAAAATGTGATCGTTAGGGGCGATTCTCAATTGGTAATTCACTAATTGATTGGTGATTTTAAATGCCAAAGTGATTCCATTATAAATCAATATGAGATCGCCCAAGAATTGTTAGAAGAATTCGACCAAGTAGAACTTCAATGCGTTAATAGGATATATAACGACATGGTAAATGAGTTGGCCCAAATGGCCTCAGGGTACTCAAAGGTTTT